CGTTGGTCGGAGCTGGCGTCTCCCTCTCTAATTCCTGCCAGTGTGGGCACGGCCCCGGGGCAGCGCTGGGCGCTGGTGGGACCTTCTGAACCCTGTCCCCGTACTGGCCAGGAGGCGACCCAGGCGACAAAGCGGCCGCCTGTCTGGGGATCTGCACTTGCTGCTGCGTCCCGCTCTTGTGTTCAAGTCACGGAGGCCTGGAGCGAAACAGGGCTGGGTATTGTCTGGTGGAAGCGGCGTTCTTGATTACCCAGACAACTTGTGAAGCCTAGTTCCTTCTGGAGGAGCTGGGGCCTTGCAGAGATAGATTTTTCCATTGCACAAGAAAAAGAAATGCCTCCTTCCAAAAAATAAATACATAGAAATGAGTTAGCTGGTGCTGAGTGGAGGGCCGGGGCTCTGGCTGGGGTGAGTGCTGGATGATCGTGCAGAGCTCCAGCCAACGACCTGCTCCTTGGCGGAGCTGAGCAGATCCAGATGCTGCTCGGGGCAGCTCGGCGTCAGCGTGCGTGTTGTGACCCCGGGAGGGATTCGGGACCCCGAGGGCTGATGCTGGCCCCGTCCTGGTCAGTGCCACGAGGCATGGCCATGGGGCCGGGGTGCTCGCCAGCCCGGGCAGGACGGATCCTTCCCTCGTGAGTGGCAGCCGCTGCCGCTTCCTCACACTGCTCCCCTCTGTCCCCAGAGAGCTGCGAGGGGGTGGGGTGCGGCCCCGACAAGGTCTGCAAGATGAAGCATGGGCGCCCCCAATGTCCCGGCCCCCCGGACTGCCCCAGCCTGCCCCGAAAGCTGCAGGTCTGTGGCTCCGACGGCTACACCTACCGAGACGAGTGCGACCTGCTGACGGCCAAGTGCAGAGACCACCCCGACCTCGAAGTGATGTACCAGGGCAAATGCAAAAGTAGGTCCGGTCATGCCCCCACCCCATTCCGTCCCATCCCCATCCTGTCCCTGTCCCGTCCCCTGTGGTTCTTGTGCTCCCAGCTCCGCGTGGGACTGGTCCAAGCTGCGCCCGCGTGGAAAGAGATGAACGGCAGCGTGGGTCCCCGGGGCCC